TGGGTAGCCTCCTTGTGCTAAGGAGAAGAGTTACAGACACAAACACACAGGGTTTGGCTTTGATGTGATAAATTGCTGTTCTGCCCTCCTTGAGTCCATCAGCTCCCTGTCGCTCAGGGCAGCAAGCACTTTTATTATTTTTACTTGCTTACTGCTTGTGCTGTGGTAGCATCTGGGGCCCCATTTATTCCAGTGGGAGGCATCATACAGCCACATAATCACCACCAGTGCCTGTCCCAAACAGCTTATGTTCAAAAGAGGGAAAAGCTGGATTCACTGAGGTCGGTGGAAACATTCCCACTGACTTCCAGGCAAGATTTGAATCCAAGTTCCTACTCTGTTACACTGGTAAATAATAAAATGGCTGGGTGTTACTCCTGATTTGTACCAGTGCGACAGAGTCAAACATGGTTCACGATTGTATCCTTGTAAGGTAAATCTGACTTGAATAATCTGACTGTGTTTTATGTCTCTTGACACATTGTTTAGGCTTGAACTTTGAATTATTTTTCACAGCTGGCTAGAACTCTTCCATATTTATTAATGTAATTATCAGGGCAAATCCTGTGCCCTGGCCATTAGCCTCCTGACTGCAGTTTTCATCCTGTACTTATATAACCCATCATGTGAGTGCAAATAATGGCTGTTCAGGCAAGAAGAACTGAATTCCACTAGGAACCAAGAGCTGCCTCTTACAGAAGCAGGAAGGTATGAAAGGGCTTTCTGATTCATTTGTAAGTGAGAAAGGCAGGTACTGGTGTTGGACTTGAATCATCTCCTTTAGAAAAGCTCTGGTAGGGCCCAGACCTGATTGCTCTGAGCTATCCCAGCACAAACCTTGTACTGCTGCAAAGTGCCCCAGTGGCTGTGCCCCGAGTGGCTGCCAGTTGGAGCGAGGCAGCAGCAATGATCATGAGAAGCATGTATATATGAGCTTAATCATTACAACGCCCCTATATACTTCCCATATCTATTGTACCAGGTGTGGCTGTAACTTCCTCTGTGCTTTTCTCATGATCAGTCACGTTTGGTGCCGTGCACCTTTACAGTTTGCTGTTTAATGAACGGATTGAGTGACAGCATTCCTACACACCTGTTGTTTATGGTTTGGTCATCCTCTTCTTTCTACCTGCTTTCCTTATCTATCGCAGCCATCCACGCCGATCCTATCCATCCGGGGGTGCCCTGGACCAGATTCCACTTTCTGCTGCATCCTGTCACCGTCTTCAGACCTCTAAATTTTGAATTCCTGCTCCTGTCGCCTTGTGGCCTACAGTGGCTATAGCTTTCAGACATCCCTAAATCATTATCTGTCTATTAAGTCAAGTCAGTCCTAAGGCTGCTGTGACTGTTGGAGCACCTTGGATGCTGTAACAACCCTCTTCCACTCTGCTCTGTGTTGGCTAGCTTCATGCACCCTGTCAGTTGAAGCCCCGTCTGGTCCTTGATATTGGTTCCCCAACTCTTCTTGGGTCTGCCTCTTTTTTTCTTTCCCTCCACCGTGCCCTGCGTTATGGTGTCGGCAAGGGTGTCCAGCCTTCTTGTGATGTCCAAACCATCACAATTCCCTTCATCACACAACCTCTAACCATGGACTGGGTAACAGGTCAACCTGCCTGGCACAGCACCTGGTGATGCCATGACAATAACCACAGTAAACTCAGAAGAAAATGGAGCCCCCTAAAAGGCTCTTTAGCACCTTTCTCTCTTGTGGTGATGGGAGAAGAGGCTTTTCTGGATCCTTATATTTGTCATGGGAACGGTTTGCAGGTGGGTTCTGTCCTGTGCTTACATGCCTGTGTAGCTGCAGGACCCTGAATTTTGCCATAAAGAAAAGGACAAGTCTTAATGACCCATGAAAATTCACAGGCAGCATAGTGAGGGAAATCACTGGGTGACAAGTCAGCTGTTGCTCCATCACGCGGGAAGTTTGGCTAGAGAGGGAGCAGCCCCCTTGCCTGGGCTCTGCTGCGGGTAGTGTGGACTCTCCCTGTTCTATAGGAACATGGGGCTGGGCACGCATCCCTTGGAGCAGCTGGGACCCTCCCTGGGGTGGCGAGTGCTTGCCAGCTCTCCTGCAGTGTCAGCTGGGCTGCGGTGCAGTGCAGATGCATCCAAACAGCCCATTGCTCGTGCTGGCCCTTGCGTTGCTTCTGTCTCCACTCCAGCAGGTGCATTTCTTTGTATACCTACTCCTGAAGGAGCTTCCTCGCCTGCAGACGGAGCTCCTTCTTGGGCTGGGAGCAGATAGGGGCACTGTGCCATTTGAACACGCAGCGGATCTAGTTCCTCTCTGCTGGGGCCGGTGCATTGGGCTTTTGGAAGGTGGAGACTGAAACCAGCACCTCGTTAGGTGCACAAAGGCTCCCGTCCACCACCCTGCTTCAGGCCAGCTTCCCGGGCTGCCGCCTCTAATTGCTACAGCAGATTCCAGGCAGATTCCGTCATCCCTGGTTTCTGCCTGAGTGGGAATCTGAGAATAAAAGGGCGGATGGCAGAATAATGGGTGCACTGGACAGTGCAGGGCACGGCAGCCCTCCCCGGCATCACATGAGAGGCCCACGGGAGGAGGGAATGCGGAGGATGCTGGAGTGAGGGAGGATTCAGTAAATCCTTGAGCTTCCCCCCACCTCCTCCTCAAAGGAGACCTCACCAGGCTTTGGAGAGCAGGAATTAAGGGAGGTCAGGGCAGGGGCAGGCTTTTGTAAACCAGGGCCTGCTATAAATGGCTTTCATGAACCGGAGGCCTCCACTCCCACATACAAAGGGAGCCAGGCGTGGATGGGGGTGAGCTGATAAAAAGCCACCGACACAAATAACTCGTGGGTGGGTATAAAATGTGCCAGAGCAAGACAAACATAACGAAAAATGGGCGAGGTGAATGGTGGCCCGAAGGAGAGAATGTGTAAGGTCAGCGGGAAAGCGAGGCCCTGAGCTGGAAATTCCCAGCCAGGGGCACAGCATGCTAAAATGGCTTTCCTCAGCGAGGAGCAGGGTGCTGTGTGTGCTGCAGGGGCTGCTGGCCATTTGAGCAACTGCGTCCTCTCGGGCCATGGAGGAGAGCAGGTCCTTTCACTAGCTGGCTCGAGAAAATATGCAGCAAGGCAGCAGACAACACAAAGGACTGTGCCCACATTGGCTTCTGAAAACAAGGCTGGCTCCAAGAGCTAATGAGCCAGGACACGCAAGCTTAGTTAGGCAAACTCAGAGCCAGCTCAAGAAGAATGAGAGTTATTCCTCAGGTGTTCTGTGCAGCTGAACGTCCTCTCCCTCTGCTCCATGGTCAGTCTGCATAGAGAAAGTGTTTCCAGCGCATCCGTCACGTTTGCAGAATAACCTCCTGATTGCAAACACTTTGTGCCATTCTCCTGTGCAAAAGCAGTCTTTAGTGGCTGCCCTCCCCAGCTTCTCTGCTAGAGTCTTCTCCAGGTCCCAGCTTGCAGTGAAGGAAGGACTGCTCAGCAAAAGTTGCACGGTGCTAGCAGTTTGGGACAGTTTTCTGCTATCTCTTGTGATGGATGGGACAGGCCCCCTTGTCCATGCTGTTTTACTGTCCTACACTTGTAGGGAGGGATCCAGGCCAAGCCTGGCTTCCCATTAGTGATGACATCTCCTGAGCAGCCTGATCCAGTGTTATTCCCGTTCCCCTTCTTCTCAGTCCTGTGCCCCTTGCCTTGTGCAGTCTCACCATCGTCAGCGAGATGTGATGTTCTAGCCCGTACACCATCACGTTTCTGGAGGGTGGAATTGTTTAGGGAAGATCCTTCCTCCTAAACTTGACGGACCTCCATTTGCCGGGTTCCGAGATGTGAGAGATGGGCACGAACAAAACCCTTAGATCCAAATGCCCCAACTTTGGGGAAATCTGGATTGGACCTTGGCAGCTGGCGCATCTCAGTGTTAGACTGAGGCGGTGCTTTTGCTCTGGACGTGCCCCAGTTCTGGAAGACTCAGTGTGAATGTGAACGTTGCCTTGAACCCCAAATCCCTCCCAGCCAACACATCTTCCAGCATCATCTGCCCTGGCAAAGAATGCCTTATCCAGGCATGAGTTCATTCCCTTGCCTTGTATGCATAGGGTGCTTATTTAGTGATCATGAGGCTCTGGGTGCTTTAGATGGACAAAGAGGGACAGTGGGTGCAACAGCCAGTTCGGCCATGGGGATGGACACTTGTGGCAGTAGCTACCGATCCCCAGGGTTCTTGCTGAAAGAAAGCTGCTGCCTGGGAGCGTGGTGTGGGAGTGATGAAGTGGGAGTGATGCTACCTCAGTGGCACTGAGCTGGAGTCACTGAAAGCCAAATAGGGCAGTCTGGCCTCTAGTTACAGCACCAGCTTCTGCTGCTTACTGGAGGTTACAGGTTCCCTTAATGTTCAGGGTAACTGAATTAGGTGAAGGGTAGAGAAAATGCCTGTAAAGGCAGTGTGAGCAGAGATCCACCAGGCTAGCTTAGGTGTGTACATAGTTGATTTAGTCATATGACTAAAGGATGAGGCAGAAGGCGGAAGGGATGGAAGATCGGAGAGAGGAGTCTCTCCAGCAGGAAACCCTGGGCCTTCTGGGGATTTCATGGTCAAACCCAACACCTTAAAAGACGCTGAGAAACCAGGGAGCAGGCAGTGCAGATCCTGGAACACCGGTGAGAAACTCCCATAGGATCTCTGCATCGTATGTGCGCTTTGTCTTGTGGATAGCTTATTGTACTCCTTGGCAAGCATCATAACCTCCTGGTGAAACAGACTTCTGGACTGCCATGGTCTAAAACACTGAGGACCTAACCGCCCTGCCTAGCCACATGCTGGGACAAGCACTGTTCCTCTAAGGGAGACCCGTCATGTCTCCACGCAAGGCTTGTGGAAAGCGGCTAGCTTTTAGATGAGCAAAGCCAGTGACGCCCCTGGTGGTGTGGGGTTGGCGTGGGGGAGCTCTCAGATGTGCATCATAATTACAGGAAGAGTCCATTGCCCAAGGTAACCAGGAGTTTTTCTCTTCTCCACAGGTTCCACGTGCACTGAAGATGTCAAGAGTTGTTCATCGTCCCCTTGTCAGAATGGAGGGAGTTGTGAGGACTTGGGAAGGGGATACCGGTGCGTCTGCCCTCAGCAGCCCCTAGCCTACACGGGCACGAACTGTGAACTCCTCTATGATGCGTGTGCTGTGCACGCGTGCTCCACCAATAAAACCTGCCGCACAGTGCCAGGGCTCCAGGAGTATGAATGCATCTGCAGGCCTGGCTTCACAGGTATCGATTGTAGTGTTAATATTAACGAGTGTGAGAGCAACCCTTGCAAAGAGCCGCATTTTGAATGTGTAGATAGTGTAAATGGATACACCTGCCAATGCCAAACAGGACTGACTGGAGAAGGCTGCCAAACAGCAATCTCTCTGTGCTCTAGCCATGCCTGCCTAAATAACGGGACCTGCGTCCAGAGTGCTGAGGATTATGTCTGCTTCTGCCTGCCTGGCTTCACTGGGGACCATTGTGAGCACGACGTCAACGAGTGCGCCTCCAGCCCGTGCCAGAACGGGGCCATCTGCCGGGACATGGTGAACGAGTACAAATGTTTCTGTGTGCCTGGGTTCCAAGGGTACCGCTGCGAGATAGATATCAACGAGTGTGCATCCCGGCCCTGCAAAAACAATGGCACCTGCCGGAACGAGAGGGATCACTATATCTGCGAGTGTGTCCCTGGCTACACAGGTACCTTCGTGATCGTGCATTTGCCTGTCAGGGGCACTGTTGTCTTGTTTGTGCTGCTCCAGCTGGGCACCTGCCCCCACAACCCCAGCGAGTTTCTCATGGCACCTCTGTGTTACAGTGGTGGGGCTAAGCCATCGTCAGGCAGCGCCAGGTAGATACCTGTACTCCAGGCTTGCTGTTCCTGGGAAAGAGGGGTTTGGATTGCAGGGTGGATCCAAGGGTCTTGTTCATGTCCATCTCTGGTATCTTATAACCCTGCAAACAGAGACCTGTCATGTTTAATAGGAAAGCTCTTCCCTAAACAAATCTACCCTCCAGAGACATGATGGCGTATGGGCTCAGACCAAGAGGCTTAACTTCCCTGGAGCCATATGGAATTGGCAATGTGTGACATGATAAGGAAGTGATCAACTTGGATGAGGGTGTGAGTAATGGAGAGGCACAGAAACATGACAGTCCTCGGGGTGTTCAGGGGTGCAGCTAGTTTTTCTAAGTCAGGCCCAGGGAACTCTGTCCTGCCTTGAAGCGTTTCTCTAGAGCAGGAGTCCCTGAAGCAAAGTAGCTTTTAGTGGTAGATTTGTTCTTCCTACCCCTTTAAGTCCAGAGAGCATTTGTTCTGCCTGTGCCTCCGAGTAGCTCGCCCTGGTGCATCCGGGTGGTGGTGGTTTGCTGTGTCACCTGCACCTGCGAGCGAGCAGCGGGGCAGCAGAGCAGAGCGAGGGTCTCCTCTCCCCCGCCGCGCCATGGGAATGGAATGTGGCCATGATGCACTCGCCTCCCCCTGGTACCGGCCAGCACACGACCTTTCCCAGCCTCACCCGGTGTCCCTGGCTGGGCCGTGCAGGAGTTACGTTACTGTAAAGGAATGTGGGGGGTCGCTGGGCCGCAGATTACAAGCGAATGGGGAGATGTTGCAACCTCAGGCACGCGGCCACTGCTGGAGCTGCTCTCTAGCGAAACGAACAGCGGGGTCAGAGGGAAAGAACCTGCTCAGCAACTGATTGTCCTTTTAGGGTTTAAAATACCCCCTGATTTAGAGTGTAACATGGAACTCAGCACTGGTGAGCCGGTTTCCCTTTCACTTCCCTGCAAAATCCTGAGGTCAGGAGGATTGCTGGCTGCAGCAAGGGGCGAAAGCAGCTGGCGATGCTGCAGGAGCACACAATGTCCCAAACACGAGGCTCTGCATCACAGCCTAGGTACACAGTCCTGGTTCAGAGTCTGGGCCAGCAGACTGAGCGGTTCCTGGTGCGAGAGGCTGGAATTTGGGCGAAGGAAGTTTTGATGTGAGGATTGACGGGTTTTGATCCGGCAGATTATGGGGCCTGCATTCCTTTAGGATTAGGATGGCCATGTCTGCTGCATGATGAGTCTCTGCCAGAAGGGAGGATTAGGTGGACTGGCAGGTGCCATTCTAGTGCCTTTCTTGGAGAGGTGATGTCAGGCCACGGGCAGTTTACGGAGGTGGGGAAAAGGGCAAGAGGGTCTTTATGGGAACTCCCATTCCATTGCTGGAGCTCTGGACATTAGGGAAAAACAATGGATGCCTTACTACTACGGATAGCGCAGTTACCGTAATTCATAGTGCCATGACCGATTGCAACAGGTAGCATGGCAACTAGCACCTCGTACTTCTCGAGTACTTGTTTCCTGAGGATTTCAAAGCAAGTTATAAATTTTGCTTAACCAGCCCTTTGAATGGTTTCTGGCATGGGTGTATAGGCATCCAGAAATCACCTTATCGGCCACCGAAACCTAATTACCTCTGGGGTGGAAGGCAGCAGCTGGCTAACAGTACCGAGGGACAGCAGTGATGAGCACTCCCTGACTGACATGGGGGAAGGTGCAGTAGGCAGACAAACTGCAAAGCTCCAGGCTGGAAGTTAGCCACGAGACTGTGATCAGTGGCCAATTTTTCCCTCCAAAATGCCATCCTGGGATTTTTTAATGAATGCAGATGAGCAGGACCATGATTTATGCCTCAGTAATTCAACAAAATGGAATGAAAGTTGGTGCTACAGCAGCTAGAGATTGCCAAATGTCACAAAGCATTTCTAGTGTTATTGATGTCAGAGGTCCATGAAGCAAAACCCAGAGGTCTTCCCAAGACTGCCTTGGCTACAAATACTAATTAAGGGCCCTTGATTTACTTGTGGGCACAATTGCTGCCCAGGCACTCCCCCAGCTCTTACAGTGACATTTATAAATAGGTCTCTGGTCCAGCAGATTGGGTTTAGTAGAGGTGCTTTCATAATCTCTGCCCAGAAGTCCAGCTGGTCCGAATTCTCCGTGCCAATCCCTAACACGGATTATTTCTTGTCTTTTGTAACAAAGATGTAAACTGTGATGCTGAAATAAATGAATGCGACTCGGACCCTTGCGAGAACGGGGGCACATGCAGTGACCACATTGGGTTCTTCACCTGCACCTGTGCGCCAGGCTACGAAGGAGTCCAGTGCGAGGTGGACATCAATGAATGTCTGAGCCAACCATGTAACAATGGTGGGAAGTGTCTTGACCTAGTTAACAGGTAAGATGCATGCTGCTTTGGCTGTTTGTGTCTGGTGATTGGATAGCCCAAATGAATCGAAGTCCTGCCTGGCATAACTCACTGACTGCAGAGCGATCAGTGCTGGGATGATTCGGGGTCAGTATTCCTGAAGGCTTCCCCGCTGACACCATATGCCCATTCAGTGTCTTTGAAGGTAAATGGCAGTGATTCTGACTTCACTAGGGTGATATGCCTGGGGCCCCTTTTGCCAGCACAGCTCCCAGAGATGCCAAGAACTGTTTGCCAGTTCAGGGGGTGGCTGCAGGTGGTATGGAAGGAGCTGCCCTCCTTGGCTGAGAGCTGACCCGTGTCTCTGAGCCTTGCCTTTCACATGCAGTGTTTGGGATCTGAGGCTGGCCTGCCTCGCCACCAGTTTCCAGCAGCGATCTCCTACTTGTGGAGACAGAACTGCTCTTCTCGCAGCTTGTGGGTGGGCCTGAGGGTTGGGGGCATCACCCACAAATCTCTTTGCTTGCCCTCCAGAAAGGGCTGCGCTTTGCCATTGCAAGCTCTTGCGTTGCTGTATTTTCTGTCCTCCACAGCTACCAGTGTGACTGCAGCGACACAGGCTTTGAAGGGGAGCACTGTGAGCTGGATATCCTCGAGTGTGCCTCCCAGCCCTGCCTGAACAGTGCCACGTGTCTGGAGGGGGTCAAGAATTATAGCTGTGCCTGCTGGCCAGGTGGGTAGGGAACTAGCTTAGCTCCCCTAGCACTAGAGCCTTGCCTGGTGAAGATCTGCAAGGCTGCCCCCAAGGCCCTCGACAATGCTGATGCTATCCCGTGTGGTCTAGTTTAGTTGTCAGCTCCCCAGGCAGTGGTGCTCTTGCTGCTCCCCTTGGTGCACAATCTAAAGTATCCCAATTCCAGGCCTTTTCCAGCCTGTTGGCTGGCTCCTGGCTCCCATCTCATTGCTAGTGGAGTATGCTGGGCCCTCTGCTTTGTGCTGAAGGCAGTGTCTCAGGCCCTTCATCACAGCTGTGGTGTGTTGGTGTCCCTTCCAGCGGAGGCCTGTGTTGTCTTAGCCCTGGTGTCTGTCTGGCAGGTTACATGGGGCAACGCTGTGAGGAGGATGTGGATGAGTGTGCCACAGAGCCCTGTCACAATGGAGGTGTGTGCTTCGAACGATCCAACCAGAGCTACTATGGGACGCAGCCAGACTTCCCCCATGAATTCAACTACAGCCAAGCTGCTGGTTTCCTCTGCTGGTGCCAACCAGGCTTTGAAGGTGAGTAGTACACTGGCATGTGCCCTGTCCCGGGCAAATGACAGCTGCACAGGTTAGGTCAGGGGGGATGGAGATGTGCTCTCTGCAGTGATGCACTGAAAGCCACCCAGATGGTTCTGGCTGGGCAGCTGCCTCAAATAGTGGGCATGTGCCAGTGCTCCTTTGCTGTGTGTGCCTAATACAAGCTGCTCTGAGTGGAAACCTCTCCAACCACCCCCACTGAGGGCCCTTCTTTAGTATCCTGCCAAGTACTCGGCAACTGGAGCTTGGTGGTCTTCATGGCTGTTCCCATGAGCACAGGGAAGACTGTGGAGGAAGCATCTAGCTCCCTGCAGTCCCATATGAGACTCTGTCTCCCCATATAGCACAGCGGCTGCTCTTGTGGCAGCTATGCCCATTGCTGGGGGTGGGGGGAGAGAATAAAGGCTTGCCTAGTACGTGCTCCTTGAGTGTGAGGTCCCTGGGGTATTCGACAGAGCTTCTACTCTTTCCCTGGTTTTTAAACTGTTTGTAGGAGTATGGGTTTGGGAGTGTGTGTGGACTCATGGAGGACAGAACAAAGCCCTGCTTTGGGAGTGTGGGAGTTTGGTTTCTTGCTTGCGGAGGGAACTGAGTCATGATCTCACCTCTGCTACTGCCTCATTGGATAATCTTGGGCAATTCCCTTCACCTCTCTGTGCCTAAGTTTCCCCCTTTTATAAATGGGGATAACTACCTGTTTGACAAGTGAGTATTGAGGGACAAGTCATGCCTCTGAAGGGTCCCTGGCATCTCTGGAGGGAAAGGTGCTAGAGAAGAGCCAAAGAGCTTTGTCTGGTGTGCCCGTGCCCTCGGGCTGGCTGCTTAAGGGTACTGATGTCCTTCTAATGGGATTGTGCCTTCAATCTCAAAGGGGAGACCTGCTCCGTCAACATCGATGAATGCGAGTCCCAGCCATGTCAGCACGGAGCACGCTGTGAAGATCTGGTTAACAGCTTCCTTTGCCATTGCCCACCGGGATACTCAGGTAATGCTGGTGCCTGGACCTGGGTGAGCCTGAGTGGCTGCTTATTGAGGCACATTCTGGCTTTAGGGGTGCTTGATTGGATTCAAGCACTGATGGACAGGGGCTGCCATAGCAGGGAGATGAATTGGGCAGATAAATGTGGGGGACTTTTAGTGTGAGACTTTTCCTTTGCAGCTGCCATGGGGAACAGCCCCCTGGCTAAGTCTGTCTGCCTTGCTACTGCTGCATCTCATCTCAGCCCTCAGATAAAAACATTCCTCCTTCATTCTCTGTAACGTTGAATCATCCTGCTTTTCAACACCTCAGTGCTGTTTTGAGCTGTAGTTTGTATGAAGGACACACTCCAGGGCTAGCTTGCATTCTTCCAGCCCTCAGTTCAACGTAACCTGCTCCATGTGTTGTCAGGCTGCCATCTCGTGGGGGAAAGACAAACTTGAAGCTACAAGAAAGCCTCCTTGTGTAACTTTTCTCAGGATAGCTGGGAGCATGGTCTTGAGTCTGCATCTAGCCTTGTCCATAAGGAAAACAATTTTCTTCTTGGACTAATATATATGGGTCTAGCTTTGCTGGTCTAACCCCGTGCATGGACACTCTTATTCTAAACCAGGCACCTTTAGACAAGTTTGCTTCCCTCTCTTCCCACTAACAGCTGCTAAATCTGAAAGGTACTTAGGTGTCCATGGGGGGGTGAACTTCACACCTCAGGTTATCCCACAAAAGCATTCCTTTGTACCCGGCCCGGTGAGAACAGGCTTTATTCCAAGGTCTAAATTGCAAGGACAAGGACAGTTAAGGTGCAGCCCCCACGAGCAGAAACCTCTTCCAAGGGGAACGTCTTCAAGTTCTTCCAGTCTGTCCGTGCTGCCCATCAGAGTTCTTGTCTGTCTGTGCATCCAGGGCTGTTGCCCTCCCTCAGTGCTCTGGCACTGCTCAGAGAGCAGGGATTTTGTTTCGCTTTGCCAAACCACAGGTTTGCTTAATCCCTTCCAAACGCTTGGCCTGCTCTTATGGGCAGAAAAGCCGACACATACACAGGATGGGGAGAGATGGGGGAGCTGGGGTGTTCGTTCTGCGGGATCTGTTTTGGGTTCATTAGTACTCGAAGGGGATTAGGGTCAGGTTGCCCTTCTGGATCTTGCCTTTGTTTAAAGGACTTTGTCGTGTTTGAGGTAGTTCGGAAACATTAACACAGTGAAAGTTGGGAGCAGCAGGTGGGGAAGTCACATTTTGCCCCTCTGTGAGCTCAGTGAGCTGAATGAGTGCATGTGGAGGAGTGAAGCTGACAGGGAAATAATAGCAATTAATCTCCCCTGCTTTGTCAATTAATTCCAGTATAGACCTGCCGGGTAAACAGCTTATTACTTCATATTAGGATCACAGAACAACTTTGTGAAGCTTCCCATAATGTTTCTGTTCAAAACCCATTTTTGCGGTGGCTTAGATCTGCCATGAGCTTGCATTTAAGCTGCCTTCTGCGATTAAAGTGAACTTGCTACTCTGATGTAGGCTGCTTTTCAGTTTCTCTCCAGGAGCCCTTTCCCCCATCTCAGGAATTTGGGGAGTGTTGGGATAACATTGTGAATCATCAGAAATTGCATTCATCCATGTTAACTGTCTAAGTGCTGGCTTGGGCTGGAGCACAGCTGGGAGACGAGATGGCTTTTGTCTCAAAACGTTAACTGTTTCAAAAGTAATAAACAGTAAATGGAAACCCAGCGCCCTAGTCCCGTCAGAACCGCACGGTGAGCTAGGACACCGGATTAGCAGGTCTAGGAGAGTGTCTGCTGTATAGGCCTTGTGACCTCTGCACTTAGTATGTCCTAGGGAGCTGAGGTGATGTCAGTGTGCGCCTGATTCCCTTTGCCATTAGGGGATGGGTTGGATCAGAGGGGCACACAAGAGGAAAATGAGTCTGGCTTGGAAACAAGAGCTATTGTAGTCAATCTAAGGGCAAATTTCCACCCAAGGAAGAGCCAGGCTGAAGGGGAACAGCAGTTGTACACATGGATCTGGCCCTGGGGTCACTGTGTTATCTGGAAAGAAAATGACCTCTTGATCTCAGTGGTTTTAGTGTGGTGTGGTGACAGTTCAGGACAGGAATGAGGAAGAAAAGTATGTCCATTTGGATATACTTGGGAACTGGAAGAATGTAATTATTGATCTGGGATTTAGGCAGTTCATCCATGAAAAAAGCCAAATGAGCACTAGTGGCTTGACTGCACTTGTTATGTACGGCAGGAGCTGTAGGAGCACAGCGCCTTCTAGCATTGTGCTGCAGCGTTGGGTCAGCCGGAGTGAAAGATGAGCACTACTCGCTCCATGGCAAAGATCGCCTCCTGCAGCACCTGGGTTCTCCTTGTTCCCCCAGCCAAATGCTAACCCTGTCTAAGTGGTGATTGCCATGCTCAGCCTTCCCTAGAAACAAGCTGCTGCATTGCTGAAGCTGAGACAGACAGCAGGTTCATTGTCTTTCAGCAACGATCCAAATGCTTGCCAGCCATCTTACTTCAGTCCTCAACCTCCTTTTAAGAATCAGAAATGCTTTTTCCTTGTATTGAGAAGGTCTGCCTTGCCAACAGCTTTTCATGCCAGGGCACTGCACAAGCTCAGGTACTCTAGAGTTCTTGGCTTAGGCACAATGCCCGGTGGACTGAATTGAATTGGGAAAGTTTGCTTCCCTGCTCCCCCTGCTCCAAATGGATGGCTTATTTAATTTCCTCGTACAGACATTTTCCAGGTGTCTGCTTTGTTTAAAAAATGTGACCTCCACTCTAGCCAGAGAAGGCAGCTAAAAGGTTAAGAGACTAAAGAGATTAGAGAACCGTTAGCCGTTGGACAGGGGGAGCTCTTTCAGCAAACACAGCAGAATGCAGCCAGCAGATGCATCCCAGGGCTCCTTCATTTTAACAGGAAGGTATATTACCTTTGTGCACATACCACAGGCAGCTGCCGAGAGGCTGGGCTGTGAAACATTCAGACAGATGCCTAGACCTATTTTCAGATGTGTGCAATGAGTACGAGTTGGTCCTGGGTACAGCTAGGGTGAGCTGGGTACTGTTCAGTCCGTGCTGCATCTCCCAACCGGATTATGACTCCATTGTTAATCAGGCCTTTTAAACTGGCTGCCGGCTGACCAGGCGCTGCAAGCATTGACACTCCAGAGTAGTGTCTGGTGTCAGACATGATTCAACCGTGTGTAGTGAGCACCTTTGCCTGAAAGCATCCACTGAGGTTCTGGTCTGACAGTCGCACTGGGTCTGTTTGGACCTGGCTGGTTTAGCAGATTGACCAGAAGGCAGAATGAGAGATGTGCCAGTTACTTCCAGCTCGCCCGTGTCAAAGGGCTTGGAGAGGATTAGTAAAGGTGGAGCAACTGTGATGAATTAAATGAGGCTTCCCTGTTAATGAAAAAGGATGAAGCCCAGTTTAGTGTCACCTCTAGTGCCAGGCCAGGCAGAGACGTGAGCAGACCAGCCACTCAAACACATGCTGCTACGCACAATCTAGCAATGTCCCTACTGCAGCACAGAGCTGGGCTGCCACTGAAAGCTTCCAGGAGTGCCAGGCTGTTTTCAATTAGCAGTGGGTATGGGATTTGGGCAGTGCAGTGATTCCCATGTAAGAGGCGTGCTCCATAACATGCATCACCTTCACATGTACTCACTGCTTTGCATGCCAGTGAGCAGACTCCTGGTGTGCACTGTATGCCCACCTGGAGATCTCAAGGAAATTTCAGTAGCGCCCTCTCTC